ATATCCAAATACATCAGTGGACTGCAAAGAATAAAGTGTAACTGTAGAGTCTCAAGCAGGTGGGGAAGAGGCAGGCTCAGCTCTAGGTCAGCCCCAGAGGGCGTGGGATCAGGGTATTCAGGCAGCTTCAGCTGTACACATGGTCTAGGGCTGACAATGGATGACAGGGACACAGGAAATTGTCAGTGTTCTATCTACTCCTAGAACTGAAGTATGTCATAAAAAAGAATGGGTCTTCACTTTAGCAGCATACACGCTAAAATAGAATGTTACAGCCCTGGCCAGTGTGGCTCAGTTAGTTTGAGCATCATCCCGTACACCAGAAGGCAGCAGGTTCAATTCCCAGTCAAGGCACATACCCAGGTTGGGGTTTGATCCCCAGTCGGGGAGCATAGAGGTGGGGTAGGGGGGGCAGTCGATAGATATTTCTCTTACACTGATTTTTTTTTCTCTCTCTCTCAACTAAAAATAATAATAAGATAAATTAGAACATTATAAAAAAGAGAAGACTACACAAAGATGATATCAATAAAGTTATATTTATATCATTCACTACTTTCAAATTATAAAAAGTACATCTTAGAAGAAGCAAGGTAGCATGGGTGCACTATAAACCGGAGAGGAGAACGAGGCATCCAAGATGGAGAAGTGGTCAAAAAGGGAACTGAGCCCTGACCGGTTTGGCTCAGTGGATAGAGCGTCGGCCTGCGGAATGAAGGGTCCTGGGTTCGATTCCAGTCAAGGGCATGTACTTTGGTTGCAGGCACATCCCTAGTGGGGGGTGTGCAGGAGGCAGCTGATCGATGTTTCTCTCTCATCGATGTTTCTGACTCTCTATCCCTCTCCCTTCCTCTCTGTAAAAAATCAATAAAATATAATACATATATAAAAAAGGGGAACTGGGACGATGAAGACAAACTTCAGTTCTCGGGGGTAATATGTGTCAGTCCACCCTGAGCAGGAAGGACAGGCCTCCCTTCTTTACCGCCTCCTGCACACACAGGACAAACCTCCTCAGTCCTTTCCTGTTACAATTCAGGTGCAAAAGGCTCTTTTGGACCAACCTGGGAATTAACCACCATGTATAACTGTCGCCAAAAATGTTAGTTACAAACCACTGCCAACCTGCAAGATGCATTTAGCTGACTTATGCAGACCCTTTTTTTCTTTCTGTACATGACTTTATTTTTGTATTTTAGAAAAAATGGATCTACTAACACTGTGAGCCACTGGTGCAACTGCTTAGGACACGACTAAATGTTTCAGGTTAAAAAAAATGGGCAGATTAAAAAAAAAATTTAATGGATTCATGGATACAAGGATGAGAAAATACGACAATTATGTAAAATGCTAATAAGATCTAGGTGGCAATATATGGATGTTCACCACAACATTTTACTTCTGTTGTATATTTGAAGTTTTTCATGACAAAATGTTGAGATGAAAATATTTAGTTTGCCGAAATCGGTTTGGCTCAGTGGATAGAGCGTCGGCCTGCCGACTGAAAGGTCCCAGGTTCGATTCCGGTCAAGGGCATGTACCTGGGTTGTGGGCACATCCCCAGTAGGAGATGTGCAGGAGGCAGCTGGTTGATGTTTCTCTCTCATCGATGTTTCTAACTCTCTATCTCTCTCTCCCTTCCTCTCTGTAAAAAATCAATAAAATATATTAAAAAAAAAAAGAAAATATTTAGTTTATGAAAGGCACTGTTGGTATCCACATATGGCAGATACCATGAACACTACATAGTAAATTATCAGGAAATACTAATTTATAAAATCGTTTCCTGACAAAAATGCAAAGCCCCAAACAGGCAGTCTAAGAACTCATGCAACACACTGTTTAGAAGTTAAATCTCTGTAGCATTAGGTTACCACAAGGCGCTGGGAAATGTGGAATTAGAAATTTACTTACAATTTGTAACATTTGGGACTGTCCCGGGTGTGGATTGAAAACCCTTCACTCAATCGAGTATCAGAAGCAACAATTGAAAAATCTTCTCCAGCAATAGCCAATACAGTACTGAGGGAAAAGAAGGAAAAAAAATTAATGAGTCCTCCTGGATGGTAAACAAGCCTGACCCAACAGAAGGGCGCCGGTCCAGTTCCGACCCCTGCAATAAAGCGAGTATCACAACAGAGCGAGTCAGATTTTGGGTTCTCTGAGCATAGAAAAGTTATGTTTATACTACACTGAAATCAGTGTGCAATACCATTATGTATTTTAAAAATGTACATACCTTAATTTAAAAATGTTATTGCTAAAAAATGCTAACCACTTGTAAAGAACGCATCATCTGTGAGCACATGAAACACAACACGAGGTGTGCCTGCGCTGGGAGAAAACCACTGGATGCTAGCAAGAGCAGGATTCAGGTAGAAGAGGTGAGATCAGGAAAGGCTATGGGTAATCTGGAAAAATACCAAGAGTTCCCTAAAACACAGCCTACATCACAGCAAAGGGCCCGTAGTGGGAGGTAAAAGAAGAGCTACAGAATTATCATCATTATTAAAAATTAAATACCTGCCCTGCTGGTGTGGCTCGGAGGTTGAACATCAACTTATGAACCAGGAGGTCACGGTTCGAGTCCTGGTCAGGGCACATGCCCGGGTTGCGGCTCAAACCCCAGTGTAGGGTGTGCAGGAGGCAGCCAGTCAATGATTCTCTCATCACTGATGTTTCTAACCCTCTCTCCCCCTCCCTTCCTCTCTGAAATCAATTAAAAATTTTTTAAAAAAAATAACACTGAGAAAAGGTAACTCAATTTAATAATCTGAAATTCATAGGGCTTAAATTGGATTGCAATGGGCTAAAAGGAGAGTAACGGATACTGAATATTCAACACCTTGCACAGTCTTACAAAGAATTCACAACTGCCTTATGAAATGGGTCTAATAGCCACCTGATGACCTAACTACTCCATCAGTTGTCACCAAAAGTGTTAGAAGTGCAAGAGTAAAGCATAAACTCAGTGGACACAGAGATATGGATTCAAGTCCTCGCTCAACCTCACACCAGCATTGTGGCTGGGGCCCCAGGTTCATTGTAAAAACGGGGCTAATACCATCTAACACTCAGGGCAGCATGAGGATGAAAAAAATGTAACGGCTGGCAATTTACAAAATGCTTGATTCTCCTCCAAACTCTAAGAAGCTGTGTTAAAAAAGTGGAGAGGCCGCATTGCCCTTTAGTGGCAGGCACAAGGCTAAAATCAAAACTTCCACTCTCCTGCCAACACATCCGCAAAACATGCATGAGAACCTCAAATCCACAAAACCTGTTCAAACAGCCTGGCCGTCTTCCCATCGGTGTGTGCGCTGTACCTAGTTCAGTGGGTTAACTGCAACCACTGCCTCAATTTACAGCTGCCAGGAGTCCTTATGGGGCATCGCCCTACAACCGCGTTCTTTTAGTGCATGTCAAGGAAAAGCACCACGTGACGTAAAGCTGGTATTCTTATTTTAAAAGGACAACTTAAATGTAACATGCAAGATAACATTTTTAAAGGCCCTCTTCTGAGTATTCTCCCCCGAACTTAGGCTAAATCTTAAAAAACAAGCACGTAACTATGAAACGAAGCCCGGCCAACTAATCCTACTTTCTACCTAAAATAACAAAAAACGATTAAATTGTTTGATCGACCCTTTTAGCTACAGACACAACTATGCATCGACCAACGCGGACTGATCCACCGCAGACGCTACACCTGCCCGTCGCTGCCGCTGGGTCCCTCCGGGAAGCTCCCCCGCAGCGGAGGCCGGGCTTCCGTGTCCACCTGCGGCCTCACTGCCCACCGGCCGTCCGCACCGACACCCAAGCGATGGGCCGAGAGGACAAGCCACCCAGAGACGGAGGCCCGCCGCACACCCGAGGGCGTGAGCAGGGCCCGGAACGGGGAGCGACTGCGGGGCCTCACCCTCCGTTGAACGCGTAGGGCGAGAAGCGCAGCTGCACGGGGCCGGCGCCGCGCGGCTCCATCGCCAGCTCTCGGCCGGGACCCCAAGACACGGCTGCGGAGGACATCATCGCCGGCACCCGCTCCTGCTGTCTCACCGCGAGATGGCCACCCAGCCGGAAGTCGGAAGTCGCGCCACTTCCGGCTGCCCCGCGGCGCTCCCTCCGGTCGCCCGGGCGCGCTCAGGTGCCCGGCTCCCAGAGGTCCGCGTGGCCGCCGGGCCCCCCACTCCAAGAAAGCTGACAGAGGTGTTAGGGTTTTCTTTCTTAAGAAAACATCCGAATTCCCTCTTGATGTACAGGAATGTTAAAGTCTGACCATACAAAAATGATTGTCAACACTATCGCGCATCGCAAAGTCCAATCGTCTACCGGAGTGCAAGTTGGTGCGGCCGTATTTGGAAAGCGACTGGCATCACCTGGCATCGTTGGAGAGAAGCACACCTGAGGCCCCAGCAGTTAAGCTCCCCGGTGTGCACTCCGCCAGAAGGCATGTGCAAGAATGTTCACATAGCATTGTTCGCAATAGCCCCAAACTGGAAGTGAGCAAATGTCCACAAACGCAGGCAAATGTCACAGCAACGACGGTTAACCGACGTCCGCTAGGGAGGGGTCTTCTGTCGCTACATAACAGCACAGAGCAGGAAGGGCCGGCAGTACCAGGCTTCCTGATTTATAACATCCTGTTTATCTGGACGTGTGTTTTCATTTTCTTACATGAATATATTTTACAATTTCTTAAAAGTGCTTTTAAAAACGGAGAAACAGGCGGAGAGGCAGGCAACGGGGCAAAGGTCACGCAGACAGTCGCTTTGGAAATCCACCTCTCGTCAGCTTCCAGCAACGACCAATGAGAAGACACGGGCCAGCTGGCCCCGCCCCGGAACTCCCGAATAGCCCCGCCCCTCAAGCCCTTCAAACCGTTTATCTCGGGAGGCGCCGGAAGTGACGCAGCGCCCACACTTCTCAGGGCCGCCACCGGGGCGTGGCCTCGCGGTGAAGTCGCGCTGGACTGGCGGAAGTGACGTTATAAACCTGCGCCGGGAGCTCTGGAGGGTCGGCCAGGGTCGCCGCGGCGGGCGCCTGGGCCGCCGGCCGTTAGACGAGGCCTCCGCAGGTGGTGTTGGCGTCAGCCGTGGCCCCAGGTAACAGCCGGCTTGGCTTCCTCTCCTCCCAGGGCCGTGCGCAGGCGACCCTGCGGCGGGGCCGGCCTGGAGGCCGGGAGGAGGCGGATGGGCGCCCAGGCCGCGCGGGAACGCTCTCCGCTCGAGCCACCGCCCCCGCCGCCCCGCCGGGCTGACACGGGGCCGGGTCCTCCTGTACCGCCGCCGTCTCTCCTTGTCGTTTTTGTATATGCGGCACTTCTGTGGTTTTAGGGTAACGGTGTCCAAAAAGTAACTTTTCGTGTCTCTCTGACACTTTCTGAAGCGGGGTTCTCGTTTTTACGTTTTTAGCCTGTTTTTCAGGAGTGTGGCCCGTTGTCCTCACAGTGATCATCGGGTCCTGGTCCGTTCAGGAAACGTCAGTGTTTGCGCTGCAGCAGCTCATGCTTGAGGCGCATGTGGGTTTTGACTTTTAACTTGTAACTAAGACCCGCAAGGCTAGTGAGAACGTCCTGTTAGATGAGGTTTAACCTGATATCTAGTAATAATGCCGCACGTTTATCCTGTGGGACAAGGAGGTGCCGCGTGTGAGCATCACTTCACCCCACGTGATTCAACCGGTTCCCAGGGCAGCACAGCTCATCCCAACGGAACGGAACCAGGGCCTCTGAGCAGTCACTTGGTTCTTTTGTCTAAAAGTAACTTCAAAAATTAAGCCAAGGAAAAAGTAGTAATTTAAGGAAAGCCAGATAGAGGCACACGTTGTATTTACGTCATCTAGAGAGGTAAAGTTATTACATAAAATGGACAGCTTCTACAGTGTTTCATGAAGTGGCAGGTCAATACATGATCACACTAAAGTGCATTGGATCCAATTAAATGTTTATTGAATTCAATGCCCAAGACACTAAAGGTATAAAACTAATTGGAATATTTAAGAGCCTGAAATTGGCCTAATAGGGCTGTGTACACAGAGCAAACTCAGGCATAAAGTTTGCTTGGGAATTTGTTTTCTCTGGGTATTTTTCCCCAAAAGATTTCAGTGCTGATTATGACACCTTAATTACGAACATTAGGAACATTTAAGTTAAATATGTAACAAAACAGTTTGTCCTTGGGGCAGTTTTGCATGCAGTCACAGGCAACATGGAAGGAATGAGCTTTCAGCTTTATAGACAAAATGCTTCATTTGGGGGTTTGTGTGTGTGTCACCACGAAACAGGCTTATGAGATTGTAGAGCTCATGTGTGTTCTCACATCACCCTTCACCTTTTCAGGGCAGCGTCTCGGTGTGAAGAGAATCGAGAGCTGCAGGAGTTGCTAGTAGGTTGTGCTGGGGATGCTCCTGGGAGAGACCAGCTGCTGAGGCAGCGCCAGTGCAGAGGCTGTCGACTTGCCCAGAAGAAAGGGATCGCCATGGATCAGAACAACAGCCTGCCGCCCTATGCTCAGGGCCTGGCCTCCCCGCAGGTAACAGAGCGTCTGCTCTTGAAGATGGACTTGTATTCTTCAAGCCTTTCACTTCTTGTTGAGAAGGACTCCTAGGCTTTGAAGAGGCATGATGGTGTATACTTTGCGGAGTCTCTGTGGAAGCAAAAATGTGTATTTGTCTATAAAAACATGTGTCCTGCAGGTGTTGTCTCCCTGTCTGTGGTTTACTTTTTAATTTTCTTGATGGTGCCTTTTGGAAAGTAGAAGTTCTTCCTTTTTCTATGGTCTCTTTATCACCGTTGCTTCATGGTTCGTCTTCTGTGTCTTGTCTGAGAAATCTGCCTACCTGAACTCATAAGGTGTTTTTCTGTGTAGTTCTTGTTTCTATGTGTATATCTTGTCACTTATTTATTTGTTTTTAGCTCATTGTTACATATGGCGTAAAGAAAGGCAGAACTTTCAAAACCTGAGCCTTAGTCTCTTTAAGTTAACGTAACCTGCGTTTTTTCTAGCCAGTATTTTTATAGAAGTTAGTGGTAGACGCAGTGGAATAATGTCTGTCCTTGGGGCCACAGTGTGTAGTTTGTCTTCCTCCTGTTCTTTCTGCCACCACGTTGGTGAGATAGTTTGACATAAACGTCTTACACATTTCTAGTTTATGTTTTCTGCCAAATAAGTTGGCAGAGCAGGAAAGGGTTGTGGCTCCTGGGTCTTGAACTTATTTGAAAATCTAATGGAAACGGAACCCCTCCATGCAGAACTGTCAGGAGCGGCTTTAGGAGGTTCACAGCCGCCACGAGCTCTGCAGGCTCCACAGCCTCCATGGATGTTGGTGTTGGAAAATGTGCTTGTGATCTTGGCTCATCTGCCAATAAGCTCTGTGTTCTTGGGCAACTCATGTAACTGTTCTTAGTCTCGGTTTCCTCATTTAATGAAGAAAGAAGAGCGTGTGTTTCCCTTCCCAGAGAGCTGTAGGTAAGACTCGGGGCGATTAATAAATGTCACGATGTCTGGAAACGTTGAGAAGCAATGTAGAAAAGTAAATTGATATTCTGATAGATGCATTGGGTTTTGTTGATTAAACCTTTTGAGAGCAATGATTAATCTTTTTTAATAGTGTTAGAATAATCATCATGACCATTGCTAGCACTCAGTGTTTTCAATGTGCCTGTCATCCTGCTGGTCGCTGTAAGTGGATTTCTCTAGGGTAACCATGTAATTTATCATCCAAGCTGGAAATGGGGTGCTACCTAGACGGTATGCAGGATAATGGTTTAAACAAGGATGTGGGGTCACCCCAGTGGTCTCCCTGATTCTAACAATCTCAGGGCATTTTTGTCCCCTAGGTAGACCTGAAGGGTTAAGCAACTTCTTCAGGTTCTCACGTGTAATAAGTAGCAGATTTGGCTTTCACACCTAAGCTCCTACCTACTATATTATGGTAATTGAAGAAAGTGATGTGTGAAAGAACAGCAAGTTCCTCCCTATTAATGTTCAATAACTGCATTTACACCGGGAGGCGTCTGTCTTTACACATCTCATCTGTTCTCTCACCAGGCAGCACCAACCAGCCTAACCCACCGTTCTGACTTTCCACAGGGCGCCATGACTCCTGGAATCCCTATCTTTAGTCCGATGATGCCGTATGGCACAGGGCTGACTCCACAGCCCATTCAGAACACCAACAGTCTGTCCATTCTGGAGGAGCAGCAACGGCAGCAGCAGCAGCAGCAGCAGCAGCAGCAGCAGCAGCAGGCGGCAGCAGTGACAACAGTGACAGCCGCAGTGCAGCAGTCAACGTCCCAGCAGGCTCCTCAGGGGGCCTCAGGACAGACACCACAGCTCTTCCACTCACAGACTCTTACCACTGCACCCTTGCCGGGCACCACACCCCTGTACCCCTCGCCCATGACCCCCATGACCCCCATCACGCCTGCCACGCCAGCCTCTGAGAGCTCGGGGATTGTGCCACAGCTGCAGTGAGTACTTGTGTCCTCTTGCTGCCTGGGAGGATCCCTTGGAGCCTGCCACTGCTCTTTGTTTTCAGAGGCGTCCATGGATCTTACAGGGACTGGATCACAGTTTCTGTCTCACTTGAGAGGGAAGCAAAGCTGTCCTAGTGAGTCGCCCTCAGTGAGAAGCTCTCCCAGCTTTAGAAGTTGGCAGCTTGTGCCTGTGCTCTTGGACCAGCAGAATCCCGTGTGTGTTTTCTTGTTGTAGACATTTCCCTGTAGCTGGTTTGCTCAGTCAGGCCAGATAGCTACTTCCCTTGGCATGCTGTCTGTCTTTGGTACGGTTAGTTACTTAGTCATAGAATTAGTATGGTTCATAGTGGTCCTTCTTTTTTATTGGTTATTATGAGGGCTGCATATACATCTTTGAAGAGCTGTGGATGGCTGTTTTCACACAAGCTGAGGATGGCTGTTTTTGCCCTAAATGGACTTTTCTACCTAAAGGGAGTGGGTTCTATATGTAACAGGATTCGGGGTGGGGTGGGGGTGGGGGGAATACAATATATTCATACTGTGGGGAGGAGGAAGTATCTAACTGGTATAGAGATGGGTGGACGGCGGCCGCACAACACTGAATGCATTGGACACCACTGAGCGGTGCACTAAAACTGGTGAAGGTGCTAAATTTTATGTTATGTGCTTTTCAAGACAACTTCAAAATGAGAAAAAAATACATTTAAGCCCCTAGCTGGTGTTCCTCAGTGGTTAGAGCATTGTCCTGTGCACCCTAGGGTTGCAGTTTCTATTCCTGGTCAGGGCACATACCCAGGTTGCAGGTTCGATCCCTGCTTGAGGTGCATGAGTGAGGCAACCGTCTCCCTCTCCCTCTCCCTTCTACTCTCTCTAGAATCAATGAAAAACATATCTCAGATGAGGATTAAAAAAAAAAAAAATGCATTTAACTGTTATATGACTAAGTGTGTGATAGATGCACCAAAATGTACTTGACTGAGTTCATACATGGACAGGTGTTGCAGGCAGGCGTGTATGGAAGTTGATTGGAAGGAAATGGGTGACGTGGAGATGAAAACATGGCTGAGTGCCTTAGAGCTGTGCACTGGCACCCACGGGAGGTGCGTCTGCAGTCTGGGTGCACTGGGCACAGGACAGTGATGCCGGGTCCATGCACGATGGTTTTATTCAGGGGGCACAGCGCACAGCAAGTCTACACTTTCAAGACCACGAAACTATAGAGTGAAAATGTAGGTTGGCTCTGTTTAAATTTTTATTAAAATTTGTAATAAAGTTGTTTTTCGCTGTAGTATATTTTTTCTTTTGTAAGTTATTCATAAAATGATACAAGAATACTAAAAATGGGGGTCTTGGGCATAGATAATACATGGTTGTCTGTTTTTCTTGATTTACTGAGAGTTAAGCAGAATAAAACAGGTTTTTTTCCTTTGTTCTGAGTTATTGTTCTTCCAAAGGATACTTATTTTGAGAGGACTGAGAAAGTCATGCCTGCCCATTGTCTTTGTAAGGAGCGGTCTTAGGGTTAGCAGTGGTGGTGTTTCAGAGCTCAGAGATGAGGTGTGTCGGTACCGGTGAATGGCTAGGGCTCTGGATAGATGGTTCCCGACTCTGGCTCTGAGGAGCCACGTGTCTCCTGGGCAGGTTACCCCGTTTAAGCCTCAGTATATGTGAAATGCTCACCATGGTATATGTTACTTTTTAAACACCTAAAAAATGTCAATAATTTATTACAATTGAAATTAAGTTTAAATTTAATGAAATCAAATTAGTTCAAATGAAACAATCAGGTTTCTAGATAATCATCTAACACCTCATCCTGTAAAATTTCAATGAATAAATCATGTTTTCTTTTCAATTTTTTTGCAGAAATATTGTATCCACAGTGAATCTTGGTTGTAAACTTGACCTGAAGACCATTGCACTTCGTGCCCGAAATGCTGAATATAATCCCAAGGTCAGAGCAATTTTAATATATTTCAAACTGTAGTACAGGAATTTACTTGTCAAGATCCCTGGATCAAAACATTTGTGCCATGGTAATAAAGGAATGCTGCCTCTGAAAGCCACCTGGGAACAGGAGGTCACTTCCACAAGCGTTGATGTGCTTGTGTTCTGCCTTATTAATTCCTTCTGGAGGTGAAGGTTTTTCAAACAAAGTTTATAGTTACAGAAGCTAGTCATGGGAAGCAGCAAATATAAGGTAGAAGTAGAGGCCCTTGTGTAATTAAAGAAAAAAAAAATTGAGCCCTGGCCTGTGTGGCTCAATTGGTTAGGCTTGTCCCAGGCATTGGAAGGTCCCTGGCTCGATTCTCGGTCAGGCCCCATGCCCGGATTGTAGGTTTGGTCGTATGGGAGGCAGACCAATGTTTCTCTGTCACTTTGATGTTTCTCTCCCTCCCCCTCTCCCCTCTCCCCTCTCCCCTCTCCCCTCTCCCCTCTCCCCGTCCCTCTCCCTTCCTCTCTCAATTGTTCCAAATTCTCCCCGTCCCTCTCCCTTCCTTCTCTCTCAATAAAAAAAAAGAAAGAACAAAAAAAATTGCAAGTACTCCCTATCTTACAGGAATGTAGGAAAGAATTTACAGGTCGTGGTTCAACTCAGTCGTCACAGTTCTGCTTCCTGTGCGAAAGCTTGTGCCCTGCTCGGTGATGGGAGGTCCTGCCTGGGGGCGTGTGCGGGTGCTATGGTGGCTGTGCACAAGGACTTCGTAGCTGTCGTTGTCTAGTTTTCCTCACATGTTAATGACTCTTCACCATTCCAGCGGTTTGCTGCGGTCATCATGAGAATAAGGGAGCCCCGGACCACAGCCCTGATCTTCAGTTCCGGGAAAATGGTGTGCACGGGCGCCAAGAGGTAGGTGCAGAGAGGCCGTCTGTCTGTGTTTTGTGTGGTCTCGGTGGTAGGCTGATGCTTTAATCAAATGCTGTTGTTGCTTTCTTACTGCAGTGGTTGGCTCTAATCACTCTAGTCGGCAGTAATTTCATTTTTTTAAAGTTAGGCCTGGCCCTGGCTGGTTGGCTCAGCTGGTTGGAGTGTCATCTCGTACACGGAAAGGTGGCAGGTTCTGTTCCTGGTCAGAGCACATACCTGGATTGCGAGTTCGATTCCCGGTTGGGGCGTGTACAGGAGGCAACTCATCAGTGTTTCACTCTCCCTTTCCCTTCCTACCTCTCTAAAAATCAACTTTTAAAAATCCATAAAAACATAAAACTTAGGCAAGACTTTTAGACATATGTTACCATTGCTTATTTCCCTACAATTCAGTTGCATTTTATGTGTTTTTGGTAAAATATTACATAACAACTATTAAGGATTCCTTTATGTAAAAAATTTTATACATAACACAAATTCATGCCCAAGGGGAAAAAATCTGCCTAGGGATGAGGAGAGAGCCGCAGACCCCCTTGGCTCTGGCAGTGACGTGGTGGCAGGTGCCGCTGCCCTCGTGGGGAATGGTGTTGGTTCTGACGGTCTGAGTCGTGCGCCTTCGTGTCAAACGCTGGTGCCTGTGCTCTGCCTCAGTGTGCAGCAAGCCCCTCTGCGAAGGCCTTGACTAGTCTAAGCCTAACAGCCCACAGACTTGGTGGGAGACACAAGGAGGGGGGATTAAACAGAAGTGAAGTTAAATGAAGTAAATAAACTCCTAAAATAAGAGGTGATTGATGCACTTGCAGGTGTTAACGTAGAGAGGGGCTGTGGAGCTTTTGCTAATTCTGAACTTGAAAGTTGTCTTTTAAGGAAGCCATGGGTGCGGACATTCTGGCTCTGGTCTCAACGTGTTTTTCAGAAGGCGAGACGTGGGTCTGCCCTGGCTCCATGTCCCTCTTCATTTTGGCGTCTTTACCAGCTTGTTTTACTTGGGACGCGGCTGGGAACATGGGGTTTCCCAGTGGATGCTCCATGTGTTGCCTTCACCGCAGGCACGCCGTCTTGTACCTCACAAGGAACAGTGGGTATCTGTGTGGGTGACTTTTGTCAAGATAAGAAGTCATAAATACATTTATTATTATTAAAGAAAAAAAAGGCACTGCGTGTACGGTTAATTTTTGTCATTCCTGACCCTGTACCCGAGAGTCTTGTTGAGGATGGTATCATTGCTCTCATTCTCCGTGTTCTACATAAGCTCTGTGTTCGGAGTCAGTTTTATTCAACAGGTGAGTTATAGAACTGGACATAAAATAGGGGAGAACTAGTGTGCGCATTCTTTAAGTACAAACCTCACCAGTATTTTCCTATCAAAATGAAGCTTGTTCATTTTCTCTCAGTAGGAATTTGTGAGCTAAAACACAAAAGCAGTGGTCATGATGGTGATTGTATGTGCACATCTGTAAACCCCGGGGGCTGGCAGTAATGGGGTGCATTGGAAAGGTGATCATTTTGGTAGGCCTAGTTTCCTAAATTTGTGTCTGCAGATCTCTTTTCTTATTGGGAAGGGGTGACCAGTTCACACTTTGTAAAGTGACTCATTTAAATAACTATTTTAGCTGGCTCTGAGTATGAATAGCTCACTTTTTCCTTTCCCTAGTGAAGAGCAGTCCCGACTAGCAGCAAGAAAGTACGCCAGAGTTGTGCAGAAGTTGGGTTTCCCAGCCAAGTTTTTGGACTTTAAGATTCAGAACATGGTGGGGAGCTGCGATGTGAAATTCCCCATAAGGTTAGAAGGCCTGGTGCTGACCCACCAACAGTTCAGTAGGTAAGTCTGAAGGGTGTTGGGATTGCTTTTGGCAGCAGTCTGTTTACAAGTTCATGATAAATTGTCTGTAGCTCCCACTGTGTTTACTGTGGAGGTTTCTCCCGATGGCTGGAGTGACATCTCTGGGTCTCGCTGGCCTTCCCACTGCATGTGGTAACGTGAAAACCCCCTTTACTGGGTGACATTTTTTTTCTTCAATTTATACCTTTTTTATTGTTATACCGGGTGAAATTGATTCCCCTTCTGTATGTTCCATCATCATATTGCTCAGTGACTACATTTCAAATGTGTGAATTAGCCCTTTGTACGCCATAAGCGTCCATAGACGTATAGATGGTTTCTGTTTTGGACGCGTGGCAGTTAACTGGTTAAACCCACCACCTTGTGCATCAACCTTCCCCCTTCGGTCTACTCACCATTATCAGATCCACCAGCGAAGGGCATGGTTGAGGGACATGATATCTTTCTGCTTCTCCTGCTGAGAACTACCAGGTAGATGGTCCTCCCAGCCTCTCTGCTTGCAGCACCCTCAGGCTTACTGTGCCCTTTGGGGTACCAGGGCCTTTGCACATCCCACTTTCATACTTGGCATAGTCTCACTTTTGCTTTGAGCACTCCCACTCACATTTCTTACCCAAGCACCTCTTCCTCAGAGAAACCTTCCTGAATTTTCTGCTCGGTGACACACACATCCTGTTTTCAGTCTCTGAATTAATGCCATGAGATTTCTAGGTTTAGAATAAGGCACGTGAGTAGAGCAGCCAAACAGTGGAGTCAGGGAAAGGTTCATTCTCTACCCAGTATCTGCTCCAGCACTTTGGTTAAATTGCCTGACCAGGGTGAACAGCTAGAGAATATTTCAATGTAAGGAGATGAGAATGATTAAAAGGCACAACGTTGCTGTCAGATCTGAGAAGCAATGTTACCCCTAAACTTGTCCAGAATAACACTGGGTAAGGGTCAGAGAGACTTTAGGACATTTATGTAAAGCTCTTGTTATGCCAGAAAATCCACTCAGTAGAGAGTGATTTAGTCCTCAAGTGCAGATGACCGCTTGCCCTCCCTGGCCTTCTGTCCCCTCTCCTTTGATGCTCCTTGAGGAGCTGGGCTTGGCCTCCTTACAGCTGTTTTTTCATGTTTTTGCTTATAAAGGTTTTCATTTTATCTAAAAGCATGGGCAACTTTTAATTTATAAATTGTTCTTTATGTTTTCCTTATAGTTATGAGCCAGAGTTATTTCCTGGTTTAATCTACAGAATGATCAAACCCAGAATTGTTCTTCTTATTTTTGTTTCTGGAAAAGTTGTATTAACAGGTAAGTTGTAACAAGAAGTGGTGTCTGAAGATTTGAAAGTTTAAAGAACGTCATTTTCTCCATGTGAGAAGCTACTTGCAGAGGCCTTTTCTTTCCTCCCACACGAACATGCTGGCAAGAAACATACCGGAGAGGAGGGAAAATCAGACCCCATTCCTGCTGGTCCTCCAGCCCAGGCTTGACCTGTGGGGAGGGGAGAAGATGGCCATCACATTGGATAAGAGATGGAGTTCTCGTGGAAAATGGTCCTAAAGCCTTTGCGTTCATCAGCAATGTGGTTTTGAGATAACAAAGGGAGATTTGGAGGAGCTTGGTGGGAGGCAGCAGTTGGGGAATACTGTTCAGCCATTGTTACTGCGCCTGTGGCCCTGATCTGGTGCAGGGACCAGCACCGTGATTCCTGCAGAGAGGGAGGCCGAGTCACATAGGGCATCGCTTTTGTAATTTAAAAAGCCCTTTTAAGAAAACTGCTTTAAAAACAAAATTGTGACAAGGGGTTTTTTTTCATTAATATTTTAATGCCTGCGTCTGCTAATCTACCTCATGGAGAGATTTGTGCTAGTGGTTTTAAAATCATAATTTTGCCTCTCAATAGGTTAAGAAATGCCATTTTAGACTCTCATCACTACCCCACTTGTCTTCATAGGTGCTAAAGTCAGAGCAGAAATTTATGAAGCCTTTGAAAACATCTACCCCATCCTCAAGGGCTTCAGGAAGACAACGTAATGGCTGGCCTGCCCTCCCACCCACTTGTAAAAACACATCCGTTTTGGTACCTTTAAGTGGTGGTGGTGTGGGTGGCCTGGGTCGGCGTGGGTTGCAGCCTGCATGTACGCCTGGGCACGCACCAGGTGTTACTGTAGTGCTGCCTGTCTATTTAGATTTAGATTTTAAACTCTTACTGCTGTTGACAAGTTGGTTTAAGGGACAAAACTTTGGTGTTAAAGCCACCTCTACAATTGACTGGACTTTTAATTTTGTTCGCTTTATTCCCCTTAAACCACAGTTTTTATATTTCTACCAGAAAAAAAAAATGTTTTTTATAAGTGTTGTTTTTCTAATTTGTAATCCTAGGGTTTATTTTTGTGCCAGACACATTCCGCCCTCTCAGTATTGCAGGACAGATGTATTAATGAACACAGATGGCTGTAAATATTTCTCTCCTCAGTACTCTGTACAATAAATGCTGTTTATAAAAGTGTTAGGTTGATGTTAATAAATGATGCCTTGTAAGATTTATGTGATCCTGTTAAAAAGGTTGTATTTTAGATATAATGCCTGAAACCGCGTCATTGTGTGTGTTGTTGTTTCAATCAACATTTCATTGTCTGTTGCAATGGGAATGGAAGAACTGCCCGGAGGCTTGTTACCCATCAAACACGTCTATCGTGGTCATGCACTGAGTTCTTCCTTTTCCCAGAGATGTTGTTGCCTGTGACTCCCCTAACCCTGTCCCAGCACATCTATTTTATTCCTTAAGTCTTCTCTCCACCTCTTTTCCTTAACATTTCAGGCCATTTGGCTGGTGGATCCTCCATGTGTTGGGCCGTTTGCTAATTCGTGGTGTGGTTCTGTGTCCCGTCTCAGCTCCTGCAGGTGGGGCTGCATCCAGATGCTTGACCCTTTCATTAAGGCTGAGTGCGTGTTCTTGTTAGGAATCAGGTATTTGGTTGTCTCTCTTCTCATTATTTGTTAGGGGGTTGCAGATGATGAAATTCTAATCATTTCCCTTCTCCTCATATTCATTAGTTTATTATCCTCTACACTGAAAATTCTTAATATTGAAAAACACATGGGATGAGTTAAAATATCCCAGTCAGTCATTTCACATTATTATACACACAAGTCTTATACACTACCACAAACCATTATTGGAAGCGTTACAGCATATTTTTTGCTGTGCTTTCTGAATTGGTAAGGCCAGAGCCAGTGCCAGCAGCCAGTGGGCTGCTCCCCCACATGGGCTGTCTGGTGGGGCAGAGTCTGGATTGGCAGCAGTGATGGACGTCCTCTGCAGGAGCCATAAAATGTTTTTACATTTATAGAGGCTACTGAGTTGCGTGATGTATTTGTACATGAGAAAGGGCGGGGGGGGGGGGGGGGAC